AAGAAAAGGTAGTAATAGTTTTCAGAAATCACTTGGGAAGTGGGATTTTTTTCTGGGCACTGCCGTGGTTCTGAGTCTTCAGTGGACTCAGTTTCAGGATGTCTTTCACTGACTGTTAAGAAGCCCGTGGAAGTGTCTCCAAAGCATCAGGTACTAACCGAGTGCACCCTGGGAACTGTAAGCCTGTGAAAGTGTAAAGTTGGGGGTCAACATGGTGACTGCAAGAAGAGGACACTGAGGGTTTACCAAGGTAACAGAGGAGAGTCGATGTTCTCGTTCAGTGAGGCAGGCAGGGGAGAGCAGTGGATCAGCAAAAATGGAAGGTTTGATGGGCTGGAGTTGTGCGGGGCTGAGCACTAGCTGAAAGGAAGTAAGAAAGCAAGACTGTTGGAAATGAAAAGCATTTGTGGTGGGAAGTTGAATCCCTCAGGTTAAAGATAATAGAGGGTGGGTTGTTCTAGAACTGACAAGTTTCACATTGATGAAGTGGGAGAGTATATGAGGAGTGTATCCTGGTGAACAGTAAAATCACCACATAGATAGCAACTTTGGAATAGAAAGAAATAGGAAAGGGCCAAGTGACCAGCAGAAACCCTTTGTTGCGAGGTGTGCTTAGTTAACAAAGAAGGCTCACAGTGAGTTGAATAAAAGGCTGTCTCTCTTGTATGTGGAGATAGAAAAGTATACTACTATAGAGTCATGAGAACTGAGCTAGAAAAATGCTGGGTCACTGATTCTAGGGCCTTGGGGAAATAGATTCCTAGGAGATGTCCGCTGAGGTAGAGTAGAGGTTTTGAGAATTCTGCTGTAGTTGCCAGGGATGGATTTTCTGTGGAGTGAAGACTCCAGCATACATGTTGAGAATTCTTCATGGACATCCTTGACAGAAAGTGGGTAGTCGAAGTTAAGTAATATGTGAACACACATGTAACCAGGAGATGACTAGAAATAGAAGCCCAGCAGAGCAAGAGTAGCAGGGACGTGGGTGTGGACTAACGAAGTGTGTGTGCCTAGGAAACCTGAGGACAAAAATGGTATTGGTTGATAATTAATGTTAGCAGACTGCATGGTTTTCCCTGAGATCCAGTGCCTTGCCAGTTACAAGGTTCTTAGTGTCTGACAGTTTATACTTTACAGGGGAGGTGGCCATGTAGTGTAGCTCAGGCTCTCCGGTGTAAAGACTGTGGAAACCTAAGACAGGAAAGCCGCGGTTTTCCCTGAGTCTGATAGGAAAGGTAAAATGTTAATAAATGGACTGAGCTAAAGAAACAGCCTGTGTGGGATAGCATGAGGTTTGGGCTCGTGGAACTATTGGTGAAACAGATCTTGACATGAAGGTGAGTAATGGAGAAATGGGAGAGAAAAAAGTGGAAATGAGATGTGTTCTTTAGTAGCCATGGTGACCAGAGCTTATATGTGAGAAGGAAAAAAGGGTCCTGAAATAGAGCTGTTCTGCGTTGTAGCCCTCAGTGCTCCAACCCCCTCCCACTCCCCAAGCAGTGCTTGATAAGGACAGCAGCTTTTGGCAGTCCTGCCAGTGTGTGTGTGCGATGTCATCACGGGAGAGTCTTGCGACCTCCACACCCTTGTGCCCTCCGTCTCCTCTTGTCTGGTGAGAGAACTTAAAGGCTGGCCAGCTTGTCCTTGCTTGAAAGCCCAGATTTTAAAATCGGTGCTGTTCCCTGCTACATTGATCTGTCAGTATTTTTCTAAACCGTGTCATTATCTAGAACTGTAATTTCTAATTGCATTTTATTGCTTTTAAAAGTTGTTTTCCCCATTCTCCACAGAAGGCTGTGAGGTAGTCTTGTGTGTATTTGAACTTTCCCACATAGACTTTGAGCTTGGTGAATTAGAGTTTTATTTAGTTGTATAGAGCAGAAAACCCTATTGCAATGATCTTAGAAATCAAGGTCATTTGTTTTGTGTGACTTGAATTCTGTTTTGTTGTGTGTGTCTCCCTCTGTTCTGGTGAACTTTTTGTGGGTCCTCCTTTTACAGAATGACTGCTGTACTTCCAAGACTGATACTTTCACTTCAGGCAAGGGAAAGAGAAGTCCACAAGGCCTGTCTTGCATGCCTTCCATACTCCTTTAATAAGGCAAGATCTCCATTGCTGGTAGCAGGCTACCCATCTAACCTCAGTGACCAGAGGGTTCTCTTCTGGTCTTCCTAGTCACATGGCAGCTAAAGTGAGTTTGTCTTCTCAGGCTCAGCACAGGATGATGGGAGAGGAAAGGGATTCATACATGGAGCAGTAAAAATGAGCATCACGCAGACCGTGGTCTCAAGCTTTATTTCAACTGCTAATGCACGCAGTGTTGAATTAGTCAGAAATAGCTGCAAACAAGAGAGACATTTTTAGCCCATCAGTTTTTCTTTTCTTATAGAATTGGATGATACAAAATAACAGGTGTTTTATTTTTTTATGCAGTGGTTTTATATTTTTGTTTATTTGTTATTATAGACAGGCTTAAGATGAACTTATTCATTTTAAAGATAAAATAATAAATATTGTCAGAGTCCTAAGATAGGAAGCATTTCAAGAAAATAAAATGGAACAAATTTAAATTTTTTGTGTAAAGAAAACTTTTATTTGGGAACGAGACCATAAAAAACATGTTTTTTTAAAGCTGTACCTGGTGGTTTACACCTGTAATCCAAGCACTTAAAAGACTGAAGACAGGAGGATCATAAGTTAGATGCCACCGTGGGCTAAATAGTGAGACTAATTTAAAAGTGTATGTGTGTGTGTATGTGTGCACTCGTGTGTACATGTATGTACTAATGTACATGTATGTATGTATGTTTTAAATCTACATTTTAAGCTTTAATGCACTGTCTTTTCATTTTTACTTTTTTTGGACTATTTTGTACTGATTTACATTTTGTAGAAATAAAAATAAAAACATAATTTTTATCCTTGAGGGGGAGTTGAGTTACATATTTGACACTAGTAAGTAATAAGATAATAAAATAATAAAAGTAGAATGTGATCAAGTATCAGAAGTTGTGAAAGAATTTAAGAAAGTAAGATAACTGGTGAGTGTGATTACTTACATAGTTGTTCAGGACAGGCTTGGTAAGAGTCTGGAGTCAAATGTGATAGGAGACCCCAGGTGCAGAGGCTCCCCGGCCTGTCTGCACATCCAGCTTTGCTGAACCACATATGGTTCCTTGAGTGTTCTTTGTGCTTTGATGTTGCCATACCTTTGTAGCAGGTTTTTTTTATTCATGAAAATTTATTGCATGACTTATTTTTTTATTTTTTAAAAGATTTTTTTATTAATTATATATACAGTAGTCTGTCTGCATGTCTGCTGCTGGCCAGAAGAGGGCACCAGATCTCATTACAGATAGTTGTGAGCCACCATGTTGTTACTGGGAATTGAACTCAGGACCTCTGGAAGAGCAGTCAGTGCTCTTAACCTCTGAGCCATCTCTCCAGCCCCAATGACTCCTTAATTTTAAATGATCAGTTTTTTTAAAATTTATAGTGTTATTCACGTAAAATAGTATTAAATGATACATTGTGTAAAACACAATGTATGTTACAGATCCCCCTCACACTCAAAAATTCTAAGGCCCTCCTACACTTTTTTTGTGGATGTAAAGACTCCTCAAACAGCATGTGAATACATTTTTTAAAAAGAAAATTAATGGGAGAAAATTTAATAGCACTATACTAACCAGCCTTAAAACCAGGGCTGACTCTGAATTGAATGCTGGCTTTTATAAGGAGATTATCAATAATGCTTTGTGGTCTTAGAGCATACTCACGAATCAGCACCTGAAACACAAAACCGTCTGTAATTACCACTTTACTGAACCATCTGGTTTATATCCATGGCAACATAACTTTTCAGTAAAAACTATGTGCCTGATTTTTTTTCACCCCCCCCAAATCAATATTCTTTTCCAAAACCTACTCACTAATGTAAAATATTAATCAACCCACTAGTGAGACACTAAAAAGAGAAATTCACAAAAATAACCTTTAAGTCTTAGTTATTTTGTTGCATTAACATAAACTGTTTGGAGTGCCAGTCAGACATCATGCCTATGTACTGCGGTCAGAAAGTATTCTTTGCAGTGCTTTTTGTTTGTCTTTTTTAGTGGCCTGGCAGTTTGCTCTTTCAGGATTCAGCTCAGATGCAGTTCTATGTCCCTGGGCACTGGGGTGAGGGGTGGGCTGTTGCAGGAAGACTAGGTTCCCGCCAGCCTGGGAAAGACACTGATTACCAGAAATTGAAGTATTTTTACAAAGGGCTGGAGTACAGCTCAGTGGAAATGCAGCCTGGAGTGCACACAGTCTGGTCCAGCCCTTGTGTTGTATAAAAGGCTCCCATCATGTGCCATTGCCTACGTTCTCCCTGAATTTTCTGATGTGTGTGGAGGGGGAGCTCTTATCACATGGCCCGTTTATTCATTTGCATGTTTTATCACAAGCTTGTGAACTACATGTTCATGGGGACTATGCCAAATTTGCCTTTGCCTTGCTGTGCCTGATGTAGTGGTTTTGCATATTGGAATGGTCTTTAATTTTTTTTTTACATTTATTTATTTTGTGTATATTTGTGTTTCTTTGGGTACTCATGTGCATTATATTATATTAAAGAACAACTTGTGGGGAGTTGGGATCGAACTTACGTTTTCAGGCTCTGAGGCAAGCACTTTTACTTGTTGAGCCATCTCACTTAACCCCTCCCATGGATAAATAAATAACTGGATGGATGAAGGAAAGGAGTACTGGGAAAGTCTGTTCAGACTTGAGTGTCAAGCATACTTAACTCTTTAAAGAACGGTCTGTAATTTTTCTGTCTTTAGGAACCATGGAAGAGACAACCCAGGACCTGCTTACAGTGCAGGTTACAGTAAATATTGGAGTTATAAACGCTTACAATGCAGGTTGTAGTAAATATTGGAGTTATAAACCAAACATCTAAGATTGGTCTACATAGCCCCCTTTTTCAAACATCCTGTGTTTTTATATTTTGTAGTGCTTCTACTTCTCATTCAGAGAACTCGGTGCACACCAAGTCAGCTTCTGCTGTGTCTTCAGATTCCATTTCAACTTCTGCAGACAACTTTTCTCCTGATTTGAGGGTATGTATGCTGCATGAACATACTGAGGATATCAGGATATTCATACTATTCAGTGCCTGGCCAGCACTATCAGTAGAACCTATGTAGGTAATAACAGAGAATTTTCAAAGACCTCAGTCTTTACAAGTTATTCCAGACCAGACTGCCAAGCTTGAATGCTTACTTACTATTTTAAAAAATTTATGTTTCATTCTGTAAGTTAATACTTCTAAATATTTTGTTTAAATTTCTTGTGGTATTTTTTTCCTGATAGCTTTCATATTAAGAGGAAGTAATACACTGAGAACTCATCATAAGCCACCGGTTCCTCCAAGTGCTGAACTTATATAATTTCTTGTAATACTTGTGATGTTCTCTCATGTCTCCATAGTACCTCAGATTAAGTAATATGTCTAGGAATGCATAGCAAATATCATAGCTTGTCAGTTGTATTGCCAGTTGCATTAGTCAGGGTTCTGTAAAGGAACAGAACTGATAGAATGAAAAATATATGTGTAAAGGAGATTTATTAGAGTGTCTTGTAGGCTATGATCTGAGTAGTCCAATGAAGGCTGTCTCCTGTGGAAAGACCAGAAAACTAGTAGTTTGTTCATAATGTGAGGGAGGCAGTGATCACTTTTTTTGTCACTTTTTTTGGTTTAATAAAATGCTGATTAGCCAGTAGCCAGGCAGGAAGGATAGGTGGGGCGACCAGAATAGGAGAATTCTGGTAAGAGGAAAGGCTCAGTCTGCAGTCATCACCCAGACACAGAGGAAGCAAGATGAGAAAGATGCTTCACTGATAAAAGGTACTGACACACATGACTAACACAGACAAGGATTATGGGTTAACTTAACATGTAAGAGTTAATTAATAAGTTAGCTAATAAGAAGCCTGAGCTAATGGGCCAACCAGTTTATAATTAATGTAGGCCTCTATGTGTTTCTTTGGGACTTAACTGCTGTGGGACCAGGTGGGACAGAAACCAATGATCAACATGTGCAGTCCCAGTCTGGTGCTGGAATCCCGGAGGATTTGTAGAGAGCTCCTGGTCTTTAGTTAGGCTCTAGAAGTAGATTCTAACAACAGTGAAAGAATGCCTCAGCAACAGAATAGATGAACTTACCAGCAAGAGTGAGGGCAAGCAGGCAAAAAGCGAAAACATCCTTCTTCCTTCCTTTTTATATGGGCTGCCACCAGAAGGTGTGACTTAGATATAATGTGGATCTTCCCATTTCCAATCATCTAATCAAGAAAATTGTTCACAGGAGTACCCAGCTGCTTGGGTTTTAGCTGATTTCAGATATAGTCAAGTTGACACCAAGATTAGGCACCACACTGCTGTTTTGTCCTGTTGAGTCCAATTCCATAGTGTAGTTAAGTAAGCACTAGGTGATGACTCTCTGGCAGCATGGAGGAACAGTTGCTATGAGCTGAACCCTGTACAGCCATGCAAAGGCATATTTTTTGATTATTACACTAAAGTTGTTATTTGGGTAAAACAAGTTCCTCATACCAAAGCCCTGATCTAATCTGTGTGTTTCATGAAGGAAATATCACACCCTGCACCTTAGTCCTTGTTGTGCATTGTGTGCAGTACCCAATAGTGCAAGATGCTGCCGGTATGCCAGAATTGTCCTGACTAAAGTCGCACCACAATGGCTGCATTAGCTTTATATGTATGTGTGTGTGTGTGTGTGTGTGTGTGTGTGTATTATAAACTGATTGATTAGTCCATTAGCTCAGGCTTCGTATTAGTTCTTATAACTTATATTAGCCCATTTTTCTAGTATATGTTAGCCACATGGCTCAGTACCTTTTTCAGCGGGGCAGGTCACATCCTGCTTCTTCAGTGTCTGGACAGGACTGGAGAGGAATGGGTTTCCTCCTTCCCAGAATTCTCCTGTTCTCTTTGCCCCACCTCTACTTCCTGTCTGCTTGTCCCACCTATACTTCCTGCCTGGCTCCTGGCCAATCAACGTTTATTTAAAACATAATTGACAGAATATAGAATTGTCCTGCACTATTCCCTTCTCTTTTCTTTTTTCTTTAAAAAAAAAACAAGAACACAAGAACATCCATAGTTCATCTTTTGGGAATGTGGGCATAGTTTTCCAGGCTACTTCCAGCTTGTTGGGGTGCTGATAATCTTATGGGGACCTAAAGAAAATTTAGAATTATGATCAAGTCCTGACTGGACTATCCTGTGAGTCTTGATCATCTCAGGCAGTAGTCTTGAACCAGTTCTGGATGTAGAACTCTGACAACTGGGCCATCTGTTCCTACCAGAGATTTCTCAGGTGGTCTTCCTTGATCAAACCCGATTTTCTTAATTCAGAATGAATCCATAGCCCCTCTATGGAAACAAAAGCAAAACTTCTTCTCCAAAGTAACATATCTTTTGACTTCAATTTTGAAGTCAAGGTATTTTCAAAATGCCTATCATGGATTAATTCAGCAGCATTTAAAAGCAAATACCTTTTAGCAGCTGTTGCTCCTTCTTCAGCACTCAAACAATTCAAAGAGAGCATAATAACACACAGTATAAAGATTCTCTGTGTATTTTTCATCTTTACGTGGCTTTATTTTAACCTCTATTTCTTTTATGTTTACTTTTACTTTTTGAGACAGGTTCTCTGTATATCTTTGGCTCTCCTGGAACTCCCTCTGTAGACCAGGCTGTCTTTGAACTCACAGAGATCCACCTGCCTCTGCCTCCCAAGTTTTGGGATTAAAGGCGTGTACCACCACACCCAACTACTCTCTTTCTTTTTTGTATTAAGGACTTTAGCCTGCATATATTTTTAACATACTATAAACCATTTAGAGGTTTTTTCGTCTTTGAATCTCTCTTTACTGTATCTCTCTCTCTCTCTCTTTTTTTTTGACTACATGAGTCTTTAATTTGCTAAGCAATATGAAGAGGATTAAAGCCGTGGCTTTGACAGCTGGATCCAGCCCATTTCTTAGCTTTCTGAGATTTCAGCCTTATGGCAGAGGTACCAGCTGTAGCCATGTTTATTGCCACAACTCTATGGCATTTCAAGGTTCCTGCCAGCAAGCAAGCTGTAGCAGTGTGCTCACAAACCACACTCAACTGCTCTGTAGTTGAACCGCCTGCCTGAAAGAGTTAGAGTTTGCCCTGGCAGGATGGCCCAGAAACCGGCATTTTTAAACAACGCAGCTTTTTTCCTGGTACGACTGAAAACCAAAAAACATGCAGTCAGCTTTTCATCAACACCATTTAAGTGTTTCTTGGCAGGACCTCTTAAAAGAGCTACAAGGTTTTATAGCTAAAGCTGAATCAGGAAGCCTCTCTTAAATGAGAGTGCTTGCCTCTAGCAAGCAGAGCAAAACCTCAAAATTGCTGCTACCAAGAAGCCATGCTTTACTCTATACTTTGCTGTCTAGAATTACTTCCTGAGCTCTTTCAGGCTTTATGTGAATTCAGTCGTCCACACGTTGGCACCATTTGTAACATGAGGGCTGACTTGTTGGACTTTTGTCCTGCTCAATTCCCACAGCTGTTTAGGTCCCAAAGAAATCACAGAGAGAGTCTGCATTAATTATAAACTGATTGGCCCATTAGCTCAGCCTTCATATTAGCTCTTATAACTTATATTAGCCCATTATTCTAGTATATGTTAGCCACATGGCCCAATACCTTTTTCAGTGGGGCAGGTCACATCCTGCTTCTTCGGTGTCTGGACAGGACTCTGCTTTAACTTCTTCAGAAGAACAGCTTAATAGATAACAAAAAACAATCACTGTTTCCACAGTGATTTCTTAAGTACTTCCAGAAAACAATTCCATTCTAAAACTTAACCTAGATACAGTGAATTTACTAATTTTTTCTCTACAGTAATCTTCCTGGGTTGTCTTCTATTCACATGGTGGAGAATATAAATGTCTTCAGCAGGGAAGTTCATTGCTTTTGAATATTTATCGAGAATACTATCTTTTTCATTTAAATAAATACATGAAGATAGCTTAGGAGTATCTATAAAGGTTCTAAAATATTTGTCATTATTTTTGTGAAACTTCCTAAAACATTAGATTAGAGGCATTTCTCCAGCTCCAAGGGTTGTCTTCAAGGTCTGTGAGTGCCTTTCTAATGACAGTGGCTTCCTGCTGTGTTGACTGGAGGGAATGGTGCAGGCTTGGTGCTAAGTGGTGTGCTGCTGTTCTTACTAACACTGACAGATATGTGCTTTGTAGCTATTTTTGTCTGTTGTTGCATTAATAAAAGTAAAGTAGGGCAGAAGCTTGATTTTGAACTGTTTTGATCTACTTGTCAGATCTTTACTAATTAAAAACAGAATTGGTTGGAAATGTAATCTTTTCAGTTAAAAATAAAATTAGCCTCTATTGTCACCATCTTTACATAAAACAGTGGTTATTGACTTCTGGGACAATACTCTCAAAGATATTTACGATTCATAACAGTAGCAAAATTTCAATTATGAAGTAGCAACAAACTAATTTTATGGTTGGGGTCACCACAACATGAGGACTTGTATTGAAGGGTTACTGCATTAGGAAGGCTGAGAACCACTTGGTGTAAAGACTTCTTTCATTCTCTTAGGATACTATATATGCCTTAAGTAGTAATAAGTGATTGGCTCAAGCTTGGGCATAATAAGGACCAGAGTGTTCATTTGTATATAAAATATTTGTTAGTCTTACTAGGTCAGCTTAATTTTAGATCAGTTTAGAGTTGAAGAAAAACTGCACACTGTTATCTCTCATAGGTCACATGTGATTTATTGTGTTGTTAATGTCTTATGTTATCAGTATGGTGTGTGTATCACATGTAGTGGACCAATACTTATTCCAGTTACTAAGGTAGCCTTTGGTTCAGATCTCCTTAGTTTAATCCAGTGTCCGCTCTTTCCCAGATCGTTTGATATTTGTGCCTCTCAGGCATCCCAACACTGTCACAGTTCAAGGACTGTTTGCCAAAGTGACCAGATGTTCTCTAGAATACATACCATTTTAATTATTGTTAAACTGGGGTTCCAGGTTTTGGAAAGCCCTCAGAGATGAAGTGCTGTTTCCTCAGCCTTTACAGGGTTCTGTCCTGTCACCTCGTTCATCACCACCATGTGCACCGTGTATAATACTGTCTTCTTATACCTAGTCTTCGGAAAGAAGTTGTTGCATACAGCCCTGTGAAGTTCTTTTTTTTGCAGCCTAACGAGTGGCCCAGCAAACCTCTCCACTGATGCAGTAATCCAGATCAGACCGAGTTAGAAAAATCCTAGGTTTAAGGAATGAAGCGCTCCCAGGTGGCCCTCAGGCCCCCCGGGGAGGAAGACTCAGAAACCGCGGAGACCAAGTGTTGGTTCTCTGGGAGGCAGTACCTGTGGAAGTGGTCTTGACCCTCTCTGGGGAGGAGGGGTCACTATTTGGCAGTTTTTCTCAGAGGTAGAGTCTGGATGACAGCAACTCCCAGGGGAGGCGGGCTTGGTGTGGAGCTTCCAACCACACATGCCAGACTCCTTGGATAAAGGGGTATCGGGGCTGGGGTGACACTTTCAACCAAACATCCCAGACTTTTTATATGAGGATGTTAGGGGCTGAGGTGATGCTTCCAACCAAACAAGCCCATCATTGAGACCTGACCCAGGGCAGAACATCTACATACAGTTTTTGGTATTATTTATGGAAGATGTATTTCTCTGCCCTCCTTTTTTGAGTTAGTTACTTAGTCATTTACTTCACTATGGGTCTTACTATTAGTGTACATCTAACAGTGACCAGTGCTCTCACTGTGGAAGCTGCCACTGGGAAGATCTTTTGCTTAGGTCCCACGCCCTTGGTGATGTTTGAAAGTTTACTTTTTGCATTGTGAGGTGCCCTTCTATACTGTGCCCTGGTTGTAGCACCATAATCTATTTTTCCAGAAGCTCCTATTTTCTTTTCATCTTTGCTATGTAAACAATGGATCTTGGTTCTATCTACTCTTAACTACCTGCTACCGTTGTCCCTACCGCCTCAGTGAGCTGTCCTCCTCACTTCCTGTTCCCTTCTCTACCTTCCCCTCACTCGCTCTGGTGGCTTGTTCTTACACAGACACCCATAGCTGCAGTGAGTTTACCAGTACAATGGCCACCACATGTCCAAAAACGCTTTCCAGAGTTTTCCTTTCCATCCTTTGGCTCTTGCATTGTTTCTGCCCCTTCTTCTGAGGTGCTCCCTGAGTGCTCTCTCCCTCTCTCCCTTTCTCCCTCTCCCCCTCTTCCCCTCTCCCCCACCTCCCTCTCTATGTGTGCCTGTGGGGGGTTGGGGGATGCATGACTGGCAGACTGGGGATGCAGATGGCTGTTTAGGGCTAAGCACTCAGTAGTCACTTACTCTCAGCAGTCTTTACTAACCACTGTAGAGAATAGCATCTCTGGCCAAGAGGGCAGCAGTGGCACTCATGTACAGCAAATATTTAGGGGTCATCTGTGTCTGTTTCTTGGGAAAGTAGAGCATGTTTCTCTGGATCAGGATTTAATTTAATACCTTTTTTCCAATAAGTTGGGAAGGAAAGGGTTTATTTAGCTTACACTTCCACATTGCTCTTAATTGTTGAGGAAGTCAGGACAGAAACTCAGACATGGCAGGAACCTGGAGGCAGGGGCTGATGAAGAGGTCATGGAGTGTTGCTCCTTCCTGGCTTGCTCCCCTGGCTTGCTCTGCCTGCTTTCTGAGCACCACCAGCCCAGGGATGGCACCACCCACAGTGGGCTGGACCCTCCCCCATTAATCACTAATTTGAGAAAATGCCTTTAAGCTGGATTTCAGCTGGATTTCATGGAAGCATTTTCTCAACGAAGGCTCCTTCCTCTCTAGTGACACAAAACCAGCTAGCATGGGCTACTTATCAGTATGACTTAAAAATTCTCTAAATAGTAAATGTACACAAGGATCTGACTTTGTCCATTGTAAATGCACTCTGCACCCTTGGCATGATTCATTGAGAAGGGGAATGGGCTTTGCACTTCCCTACCATTTCTATGGAACCTAGACTGTTGTTTTAGCTTTGTGTCTTTGAATAAGTTAACTGCCTTTTGGACCTATATTTCCTCATCTATGAAATGAGTATACAAAACTTGCTGTATTTTTATGGTGTTTTTAGGATTTATCGTGAAAATAAGCAGTTTTTGACATGAATGTAAGGTCTTATAATTCTTAGGCAGTCAGGAAATACTTTTAGAAAAATGGCAGATTCATATTGTATGTGGCAATATTACAGTTTTTATAATTTGATTTAAAGTAACGTAATAAGATTATAACTTCAAATAAAAGCAAACAGTCTGAATGAAATTTGAATGGGAAAAAATAGCCTTTGAATAAAAACTGTTTCCTTTTTGCACACCCCCATCTAGGTCCTGAGGGAGTCAAACAAATTAGCAGAAATGGAGGAACCAAGCCTGCTTCCAGGAGAAAACATTAAAGACATGGGTCTGTAATGCTATTTTAAAATTGTCTCTTTTGACTGTGCACAGCTGCTGACTCTCCTGTAGCTCCCAACGTGTGTGCTGTAAATCCAGATCCAGAGTTGTTGGGAGTGTTCCTGTCTGACGGTTCGGAAATACGCAAATTTATGTTATTCTTTTTAGATTGTTGCTAAATTCTGTGAAGAAAGTTTAGTTATTTTGAATTACTCCATTCAGATACTGGGTTGTCTAACTAAACACATTGAACAAGCAGTTTTTATTAAAGTACAGTTCTCATTTGCTACTTTTTATAATTGAAGAAAATTATAAAATTTCTTAGATAAACTCAGGTTAATTTTTGAGTGAAGTCTTTCATGTGCATTGCAGAACAAGCACTGTGTTTAAAAACGGACTGCTGCCCAGTGCAATGCTCATAATTTAGATTTTGCACTGGGAATGAGCAGAAAAACTGTCCTTTTGTGCTCTTGTTTTGTTATGCTTGCTCACAGAAATCTTCCTGTATTTTGAGGAGTAGCACACTAGGAGTGAAGAAAGCGCTCTCCTTCCTAAAGGAGGCCCCACTCTCACACTTGATCAGTCATTCTCTTTCTAGAGGAAAATAGGCATGCCAGAGCGAGGCCGTGCCCTCAGATGGACTGATGGTGACTGCCAGCTTAGCGTCTTAGCATTGCTTGCCCTTAGGATTTTGTCACTGAGTAACTTCCTCCATCTTTGTTCCTCTCAGCCATGTCTATGACTAAGCTTGATCCAGTGATCTACTATTGAGTTTACATATATCTCATGGGATGCTAAGTAATGAGAGTAGCAATCATAGTGATCCTTAGAATAAAATTGTGGGAAAGACATTAGCTGGCTCAGCATAGGGGCCTTCCTCGCTAATAAAACCACAGCTCACCCATGATGGTTTCTTTGCTGTTGAGCCCAGTGCTGGTGCTGCTTCCACTAAAGTGTGTGGTCTTAACAAGAAAATCTTTTACTATCAGCGTGCCCTGGGACTTCATCCACAGTGGATTTCCTTCTTTTCAGTTGGTTAATTCACATAGTAGATTTACCCACATATAGGGGTTAATGGCTACAAAAACATGTGTTTCAGCCTGAGCCTCCACCCACCCATATGTGAACAAGTGCCTCTGTCTCTGTCTGAACTGGCTTAGCTGTCCCATGCATCCCTCCCTATTCCAAATGTTCTTAGCCTCAGCCTCATTCTTTATCTCACCCTCAGGACTGCTGTTTTCCCTGGACTGTCCTCCTGGTTACCACACGTAGACTTAGAGAGTACGAAAGCAGGTACCTGAGAGCGAGTTGACATGGACGTAGTGAATAATGACAAAGAGGTCTGGACGTGAGTCATTAGCACATGGGTGTCTGCTGAAAAGGAGAGTTGATGCAGTTGAAAGCTACATGCAGAGAGCTCTGACCAGCACTGACACGTGGTTCTGTGAGAGGAGAGCTGGGCAGAAGTGTGGTGTAGAACACCCTGGGGAGCCAAACTGAATACTTGCCTTCACTTGAATATGCTCTGTGCTTTGTGCAGGGCTGGCTGCCAGGGCTCCTGTTGCATGAGTGCTGCTTTGTTAACTCCCACCCCATCCCTCTGCTTGCCATTGCGAAGACTTTTGTGTCTGCATGTCTGTACTGCTTGAGTGCTTCTCTGATCCTGTGGCTGAGTGGACTTGTCCTTCTCAGCATTACTTGTTGGCTTTTGTTTGTTTTTAAACATGGTCTTTCTACATGGCTGTCCTAGGGGAATTCACTATGTAGACCAGGCTAGCCTCAAATTCATGGAGATTTACCTGCCTTTGCCTCCCTAGTGCTAGCATTAAAGATTTATGCCACCATGCCCTGCTTTTTTCTGTGTGATTTAAACGGGCTTATTACCCTCTTCATGTTGGATCTTTTAAAGTATCTATTAGGGAGCCTTCCCTTGGTCTCTAAAAGTTTAAGATAAGGAGATCCAGGGTACCTCAGTACCAGCCTGCAGCATCATTGTTGCCAAATTTAAAGAATACCTAACATAACATAAAAATGTTTAGAATCATCTTCACACAGTTGTTCAAAACATAAATTTACTAAAAAAAAAGTCAAAAAGTTGACAAATGTGCATGTCTTCATTAAAACACCTTGGATTTTACATTGACTTAATATAAATCTGTGGTCTCAGTGTTTTCTTTAGTAAAATTGGGGACTGGTGAGGGGGCTCAGTGGGTAAAGGTACTTGCTGCAAAACTGACAACATGAGTTCAGTCCTTGCCACCCACATGGTAGAAGGAGAGTTCATACTTCTGCAGATTGTTCTCTGACCTCTACATACGTGCTATGGCCATGGCATATACATACCCATATACACATAAAAATAAAGAAATGCAATAAAATGCAAAAACGGTAGTAGAAGCATTAAGTGAATACTTTAGGGATTAATAGTCTCAGAGTATTATGGTCTGGTATTCCCACACTTCAGGTACTTAGCCTTTAATGTAGGGGTCAGACGCTGAGCAACAGTGCTGTTACTGGGTCAGTTTTGTGAAGAGGCAAGACACGTCAGAACTGAATCCAAACCAGAGTGCTTCTATACTTTAAGTTCTGTGGGACCATTGCTGGCTGGTTCTGCCCTTTACTCTGTTCTCCTTTCTCCCTGGTGTGAACCTGCTAAAACTGTCACACAGTGCCTGTAGTAAGAGCATGTAGAACAGTATAGACTGGTGTTGGCAGTGGTGGCGTTGCTGTAGACCTCTGTGTGTGCACAGTCCTGACAACTTTGGGAACACACACATGCATCTTCTCTGCTTATCGCAGGAAGGGCATCAGTGATGACTCTAGCGGAAGAATTCTGACTGCTTTTCCTGCATAGGAAACGGGCTCTGATGGCATCCAGAACCATGTCAGTGGCACTAATAAAGCTTTCTTAGGTTACAAAATCTATCTTTATATAGTTGTGAGTTTATTTGATTTTAAAAGTTTCCCTATAATGAAACATGCACTGGAAGTTGATTAAGAAAATGTAGCTGACACTTCTGGTGGAGCTGATTAGAAGTTTAGAGACAGTTGCTGAAAAACTGGTCTCATTTCAGATCCAGTGTAAAGTGGTCAGCCTTTCAGATTGACTAATATGGACCAAGTCAGGAAGCTTCAGTGTCTTACAGATTGTGTAGGTCCATGTCACCCCCAGAGCACCCTGGGGAGGCTTGTAGAAGGTTTTGGTTCTGCAGAATTATCCTGCATTTTCTTGGGGGGATAATCTGATGTTTTGCTCTAATAGTGGCATGGAGAGAATCTTTAATATTTTAAGATTAAAAGAAAATCCCTGTACTGGGCATTATGAAGTCTGCCATGGTAAATGTATTTTGAGCTAGTGGTTGCACTCACCATGTTTAATCAGGTAGTGCATATTTTTAGAACTATAATGTCATATAGCGCCATCATTTAGCATTTAATAAAACATTGATTATGTTTATTTCTAAAATTTGATGTCAGTTACTTGGTCAGGAATATACTATTTTCTTTTTAAAATATTCTATTCCAAATTGGCCCAGAGAGCTGACTCGGTGGCTGTGAGCACTTGCTGCTCTGGTGGAAGACTGGATTTGGTTCCCAGCACCGCCCGGGCAACAGTCTGGCACTCACACGGTGCTCTGACAACACATAAAAATAACATTCAGTCCGCTCAGTACTTTCTGGTGTGT